TGGGCTTCCCTGGTGGCGCAGCGGTTGAGAGTCCGCCTGCCGATGCAGGGGACACGGGTTCGAGCCCCGGTCTGGGAAGATCCCGCATGCCACGGAGCAACTGGGCCCGTGAGCCACAACTACTGAGCCTGCGCGTCTGGAGCCTGTGCTCCCCAAGAAGAGAGGCCGCGATAGTGAGAGGCCCGCGCACCGCGATGAAGAGTGGCCCCCCGCTCGCCTCAACTAGAGAAAGCCCTCGCACAGAAACGAAGACACAACACAGCCAAAATAAATAAAGAAATTAAAAACAAACAAACAAACCAAAAAAAAAAACACTTTAAAAAAAAAAAAGAAAAATTGTTCAAACCTTGGAAATAAGGCAAAAAGAGCAAGCAGGAGGTCCTTTCAATGTCACATTTGGAGCATTGTTTAACATATTAGTGAATTATCTAGAGGAATGTACCTTTGTTTGACTTTTTTGTTTCCTATTAATTAAAGGCTATACTCTGTGAAGTTATCTGTTAACTGTAGCTTTCAGTCTGGTAGAGATGCAAATGACTTCAGTATAGTAGAAAGATAACTAAGAATTATGGTTGTTTGGCCCCATGGAGCATTGACCACTTGTGTATCTGTCCCAGCACAGGATTTCAACATTCTTTCTCCAATGCTTGTATCACTCCTGTTCCTCTAATGCTTTGAACTAGCTTTACCATTCTATTCACTGCCTCATTAATGAATCAAATCAATCTTTGCCAACCTTTCATCCTATATTTGTATGAGAGTCATGTTTTTAACTTTTTGAAAATTATACTTCTGCGATTTCTTGAAGGAATTTATAGTCACTGAAACCATGTTTTTTGGAGAATGTAACGATGTGGCAAATGCTCATAATGTGAAGTGGCATATGCAAGACACAAAACTGTACCTATGGTATGGCTCCAATTTTATCAAAATATATTTATAGGCACACACACAAAGACTGGAGAAAAGAGGAGAGACTAGGAAGGCATTGGAAAGAAAAGCCAAAAGCAGAAAAACCGAGGAAAAGGAGAGAGAGGGAGGCAAGCCAGGGAGGGACCGACTGTTTTCTGCCTGCTCCGGGTCTCCCGCATCTCCACCACCTCCCCTGGCGCACAACGTGGGAACAAAGCCGGGGCTCCCGGCTTGGGGGCCGGCGGAGGCGCTGCCCCGAGGAGTTGCGGGGGGCGACTCCCAGCTCCCCAGGTCCCCCAACCCACCCACCTCCAAAGCCCCCCGTCCCCCGCCCCGCTACTTACTTCTGGTCCACCCCGGCAGGGCGAGCGCCAGCAGGCAGAGCTGGGCAGCGCCCACGCCCCGGGGCATGGTGGCAGCTGGCCCCTCGCGCACTCTGCGTTCACCAGCACGCGGCCATGCCAGCACCCTAACCAGGCCGCGGCGCTTCTGGAACCCACGGTCGCCCAGCAGCTCCCAGCCCTGCTCCCAGCCATTGGCCGGGACGCTCCGCCCCCGGCTCCGCGGAGGAGGGGCGGGAGGAGCCAGGGGCGGAGCCAGCGCGACCCCTGGGAGCCAGGCGAGGTGGGGGCGGGAGGGGGGGGCGGTGTTCGGCGGTGTTCAGGTGCTGGTGATCAGGGGAGGGCGAGTCCGAGCTGGAGGAAGGGTAGGGATTCACGGTGGGCGCGGCCTGAGGAGGGTCGGGGGCTTGGGTTTGTAGGAATTAAACTGGACCCCTCTGGGTACAGCGGCCCATTTCCTCTGTCCCGCACTGGGCTAGACGCCTTGGGTGACACTCAGAGGCTACTCACCCAGCACCGTCCTCTAGAGGCCGCCACGCTTGGACGCAGGTTCTGAAAGAGTTAACCTGGCACAGAGAACTAAATGCTATATGGAATTGTTTTCTTAGCAGGACACAAATCAGGGATCCTTTCCTTCTGACTGGGAGGAACGGGGTGGTGAAGAGAGGATTCCCAGAGGAGAAGACGTCTGAGCTCAGGAGGAGGCGAAATGGAGCACCAGGCAGAAAACCCGAGACAAACAGACTAGGGCGGGAAAGTCCATGGGCTGTACTGGGGAAAAACTGGAATTTGGGATGGTTAGGATTTAGGGCTTTGGAGGGAACGGAGGGAGATGAGACTTGAAAATAATAATAATGACTGTCACTTACTGAGGGTTTACTGTTTGCTAGAAAAAGAAAATAATAACTAAGACTAATAGAGCGCTTCCTAAGTGCCAGACACTGTCTTCAGGACTTTACATGTCAACTTATTTAATTAATCAATCTAGGAAAAGAACTACCTTTTATTGTCCTTTACTATGTGCTGGGGACTCTCTATACATCATCTCTTTTCATTAGCCCAATGATCCCCTGGGGTAAGTACTAATAGTTTCCTGGTTTAGAGATAGAAAACCAAACCTGAGAGGCTAAGTAATTTGCCCAAGGTCACACAGCTAAAGTCAGAGTCTGGATTCAAGTCCACATCTGACTAACTCCAGAGCCTCTTACAGCACACCTTATTTTACAGATGGGTAAACTGATAATCAGAAAAAACTGCCTTGCCTAAGATCCCTTAGCAAGTTTTGGCAAAGCCTGTTTCTAAAACCTCAGACCTCTTGTCATCTATTCCTTTCACTGAGTCTC